AAAAAAAAAAAACAACAATATGCTGCATCTAGGAGACTCATCTCATAGGAAAAGACATCCACAGACTGAAGGTAAAGGGTTGGAAAAAATCATACCATTCACATGGACTGTGGAAGCAAGGAGGGGTTTCCACCCTCATATCAAATAAAGTCAAACTAAAGTCAATCAAAAAGGATAAGGAAGGATACTACATACTGCTCAAGGAAACCATACACCAACAAGACTTAACAATTATAAATATGTATGCCCCAAACAATGGAGCAGCTACGTTCATCAAACAAACTCTTCTCAAATTCAAGAGTCAAATAGACCACAATACGATAATTTTGGGTGACTTTAACACACCTCTTTCATCACTAGATAGATCTTCCAAACAAAAGCTGAACAAAGAAACTATAGAACTCAATAATATAATCAATAACTTAGACTTAACTGACATATATAGAATATTCTAACCTTCAACAAGAGAATATACTTTCTTCTCAGCAGCACATAGATCCTTCTCCAAAATAGATCATATACTCTGCCACAAAGCAACTCTTAGCAAATATAAAAAAGTAGAGATACTACCCTGCATCCTGTCAGATCATAATGGAATGAAATTAGAAATCAATGATAAAATAATAAAATCCACTCCAACACCTGGAGACTGAATAATATGCTACTGAATGAACAATGGGTTACAGAAGACATCAAGGAGGAGATTAAAAGGTTTTTAGAGGTGAATGAGAAAATAGATACAACATATCGAAATCTCTAGGACACTATGAAAGCAGTTCTAAGAGGAAAGTTAATTGAATGGAGTTCATTCCTTAAAAGAAGAAAAAGTCAATAAATAAATGACTTAACACTACACCTCAAAGCCCTAGAAAAAGAAGAAAAAATCAACACCAAAAGCAGCAGAAGACAGGAAATAATTAAAATCATAGCTGAAATCAATGAAATTGAAACAAAAAACAATTAAAGAAATTGACAAAAAGAAAATGTTGGTTCTTTGAAAAAAATACATAAAATCAACAGACCATTAGCCATGCTAAAAAGAGAAGAAGAGTGAAAGCTCAAACCACTAACATACATGATTAAAAAGGAAATATCACAACAGACACTATAGAAATACAGAAGATAATTAGAAATTATTTTGAAAACATATACTCCAATAAAACAGAAAAATCAAAGGCTTTGACAAATTTCTAGAGTCATATAATTTGTCCAAATTGAATCAGGATGATATACATAATTTAAACAGATCAATTTCAAGTGACGAAATAGCAGATGCCATCAAAAAGTCTACCATCCAAGAAAAGTTCAGGACCGAATGGATACACAGCCGAGTTTTACAAGACCTTTAAACAAGAACTAATACCAATACTGTCCAATTTATTTCAGGAAATCGAAAAAGAGGGAGCACTTCCAAACTCATTCTTTGAGGCCAGTATCACTCTGATGCCAAAACCAGGCAAAGACACATTAAGAAAAAAGAAAACTTCAGACCAATATCTCTAATGAACATAGATGCAAAAATTCTCAATAAAGTTCTGGCAAATCGAATACAAAAACATATCAAAAAGATCAAGTGGGATTCATCCCAGAGATGCAAGTTTGGTTCAACATATGTAAATCAAAAAGTATAATTCATCACATCAATAGACTTAAAGAAGCACCCCTTTATGTTCAAAACAATAGAAAAACTCTCACTCAAATCTCAACTCAAAATGGATCAAGGACTTAGAAATACAACCAGAGACCCTGCATCTAATAGTAGAAAAAGTAGGTCCTAATCTCCATCATGTGAGATTAGGCACCAACTTCCTTAATAAGACTCTTGTGGCACAAAAATTAAAATCAAGAATCAATATATGGGATGGACTCAAACTAGAAAGCTTCTTTTCACCAAAAGAAACAATCTGTGAGGTGAATAGAGAGCCTACATCTTGGGAGCAAATCTTTACCCCTCACACATCAGATAGAGTACTAATCACTAGAGTATATAAAGAACTCAAAAAGCTAAACACCAAAAAAACCCCAAATAACCCAATCAATAAATGGGCCAAGGAACTGAAGAGACACTCTCAGAAGATGATGTACAATCAATCAACAAATACATGAAAAATGTTCATCATCACTAGCAATTAGAGAAATGCAAATCAAAATACTCCAAGATTTCATCTCACTCCAGTCAGAATGGCAGCTATTATGAAGACAATCAATAATAAGTGTTGGCAAGGATATGGGGGAAAAGGTACACTCATATAATGCTGGTGGGACTGCAAATTGGTGCAGCCAATATGGAAAGCAGTATGGAAATTTCTTGGAAAATTGGGAATGGAACCACCATTTGATCCAGCTGTCCCTCTTTTTGGTCTATACTCAAAGGACTTAAAAACAGCATATTACAGGGACACAGCCACATCAATGTTCATAGCTGCACAATTCACAATAGGTAAACTGTGAAACCAACCTAGATGCCCTTCAATAGATGAATGGATTAAAAAAAGTGGCATATATACACAATGGAATATTACTCAGCAATAAAAGAGAATAAAATCATGGCATTTGCAGGTAATTGGATGGAGTTAGAGAAGATAATGTTAAGTGAAGTTAGCCAATCCCAAAAAACCAAATGCTGAATGTTTTATTTGATATAAGGAGGTTGATTCATAGTGGGATAGGGAATGGGAGCATGGGAGGAACAGACGAACTCTAGATAGGGCAGAGGGGTTGTGGGGAAGGGTGGGGGCATGGGATTATTAATGATGGTGGAATGTGATGATCATTGCTATCCAATGTCCATGTATGAAGACACGAATTGTATACTATGTATACAACCAAAGATATGAAAAATTGTGCTTTATATGTAATAAGAATTGTAATGCATTTTGCTGTCATATAAAATTTAAAAAATTTACATAAAAAAGACACAAATAGCCAAAAAACTCATGAAAAAAGGTTCAATATCACTAATCAACAGGGAAACACTAGTAAAAACAATAATGAAATATCTCTTCATTCTCAATATGGTTATTATCAAAAAGACTGAATGTGACAAATGCTGGTGAAGATGTAGAGAAAAGGGAAATTGTACACTATTGGTGGGAATGTAATTTGGTACAGTCATTATGTAAAACAGCATGAAGTTTCCTCAATAAATTAAATATAGGTCTACCATCTGATCCAGCAATACCACTTTTGGGTTTATATCCAAAGGAAAGGGAAATGAGGAAAATTAAAGGATCTTAAAGGAACAATGAAAATGTACATTTGTAGTTGGAATACTCTCCAGCTATTAAAGAAAATGAAATCCTGTTATTTGCAGCAACATGTGCGAAACTGTATAGAGTACTAAAGTGTAATAAGACAGACACAAAAAGTTAAGTACTGTATGATTTCATTCTTATGGGGAACCTAAAAAATGTTGATCTAATAGAAATTAAGAATAGAATGGTGAATAGTAGAGGTGGGGAGGGATGGGGAAATGTTGATCCATGGGTACTAATTTACAGTTAGGAATGAAGCCTGGTATTTTACTGCTCAGTTGGGTGACCACAAATGGCAATAATGTACTGTAGATTCTAAAAGTCTGGAAAGAAGGATTGTGAGCATAAAAAATGATAAATGTTTGAGGACAGAAATATGTTTAACCTGATGTAAATATTGTACAGTGTACATATATGGAAAGTTACCATGGTAACTCAATAATATTTACAATTTTTGTTTTTATGAATCAGTTAAGATATAAATTAAAAAGCAAACAGAACTTCCTCAGAAAAGAAAAAAAAAACATTTGCCAGAGATGGTTGTGCCTCTTTACATTAAGAACCACCTAGTGGGAACAGCCCTAACATACCCGGAGAACTGAGAACTGAGTTCAGTAGCTTTCTATGAATGTTTCTGGAAGAGCAGAATTAAATTCTATGGGATAGAGTCACATGAGAACAGAAATTATAAGAATTTATCACAGAAAAATTGAAATAGGTGGTGATATTTTTCAGCAACATGAAAGATAGTAGCCTAAAAGTCATGCTGTTATCATGCTCCATTTTGTCTCCTTGTTCCAAGTGACACATATATTAAGGGTCCAGCTGCTTTACTCATATTTCTTTGTAATTCCCATTTTCTACTGTTCCTGTGCCAATGTTGTCTTATATACAATATCTAGTAAAATTAAACAGCACATGCTACCTGGTTTGTGCTTACTGGGGTGGGGTTTGGGATATCCCTCATTTGGGATCAGATGTGCCATTTACCAGCAATAGTCATGCCCAGCCAGGAGGCCAGGTATATGTACTGAATCCAGGCAGGAGGCCCAGTGATTAATAAAGGAGCCAGGTGCTCTTACTGTAAATTTCCTAACACATTAGGTATAATTTGGTGTCAAGAATAGTATCTAACTACAATCAATGAGGTTCACATAATCGGTTCATAGTCTTCATTTTCTTGACAGTGCACATTGTTATAAGTGCCATAATCCCTGAAGTATATATAGTGCTTGTCAGTTCACAACATTTCCATCTCTAGGAAACTAAGCTTGACTGACTTCCTTCAAGATTCTACCATGAAGAAGGAACAGAAACAGTATTCAAACTCAAATTTTCTGACTATAGATTTGGCTCTCTTTGCCCTGTGCCATGTTATAGTAGTGGCTTTCTTTGTTTTTGTTTTGTGGTTAAATCACATATGGTTGATTTTTCTACTGTTGTATATGGGGCTATACTTTCTCTGCTGGAACTGAGATTTTAACACTAGAATGAAATAATTTCTTCTGTTTTTGACATTTTAAAATATAGTATAGTTAGGATTTAAAAGACCATTTTGATTTGAGAAGCAAACAGGAGTGTTAAATTGAATGGAAAATGTTTTGGGGAAATACTAATTACATTCTAAAAACTGTCAAAATACAAAAACAAAAATCCCAAACAAAATTTATCCTGTTTTTTTTAAACTTACAGGTTTTAATGTGAAAAGCACCTAGCTAGTTTAAGTAAAAGATTCATTATACTTACCCTTGCATCCTCTGGGGTCTTGAAGTTAATTATTTTTCCAAACTCTTTGGCATGAAATACAGACTTCACCCGTTCCTATAAGCAGAATATGTAACTTTATTAAAAAGAAAATCCAGTTGTAAAAATACAAGAAAGAAATGCCAGACAAATTTATTAGCCTATGTTTAAAGTGTCCATTTTACACAAATATGCACCTTTAAAAAGCCAAGAATGGATAACAAAGAAGAATCAAAGCAAACAGAAAAAAGGCTACATTCTCACATATCACTAAACCCAAGTTAAAAGGCTTATGGTGAGATTTCAATTGCTAAGGACATAAAAGGATGAGAAGGATGTCTATTATTTTTTCTTTTCAAATAATTCCTCATTTCTTGATATAAGGCTGTGCAACCTTGATTGAGTCCAGTTCAAAAATAATACACACATATATATGCACACATACATATACACACAAGTTATATAGTATGTGCATGTGTGTATGTATGTATGTACCTGTGACATTTTAAACCGGTCATGAAATAGGAATGCAGTTTAGAATCAAAGAAATAAGGTTAGATCCTAGATTATAATTCTCTACTGTTCACAACTCTTTTGGTATTGTTTGCTATTTGTTGGGGGAAACTGTTTAATAGCAGATATTAACCATTTGAGGGATAACTAAGAAAAGTGGTACTACTAAGGACCAGGATGGGTATTGTTATAAAAGAAGATGGGAGGTTTTACTGGTTTAGCAATACCTTTAAGTAATTAAAAAATCCACACAAATATAGAACCCAGAAGAAATCAGTTTCTTCTATCTAAAACAGAATAGCAATTTGCTGACACAGGTCTCAAAAAAAAAAAAAAGGTGAAAAAGGAAGAAAATAGGAAATATAGGGAACTGTTATCTTTGGAAAGGAAAATAAGAGGAAAAAAGGAAATAAGGGGAACTGTTATCTTTGGAAAGGGAAAAAGACAAGAAACAAAACCAGGAAAGCCATGGTTTAGAGCAGAGGCTAATAGCCACCATCCATTATTTCATATTTAGTTGGGGTTCTATTCCTGCTTATGAAATAAGTAACTAGGAATGCTGTTGTCAATATAATAGCACAGAAAATAGAACTTTTTTCCCGTGGCCTCCCCGTATCCCCTTCTTCAATTAAAGCCCAACTATCAGTTTTAGGAAAACCACACCAAGACCACAAGAACATTTATAAAAGAGGAAGAAACATTACAAAAATAAAGGTAACTGTTACAATGTATATTTTCAGTTCCAAGTTTTTTGAAAAAAATGTATTCAATATACCTTTGCTTCAATACGCAATCTTCTCCCATGAACAATGAAAGGCTCTTTGGTAAATTCATCAAAACTATACTGCCACTCACATGTAAGTTGTCCAAATGCTCCCTTTGTTACAAACAATACACCACTGAGGGAGGAGAAAAGAGGGGGCAAAGGGAAGAAAGCAAAGAATCCACTTTAAAAACAGAGGCACTTATATCTAGTAACAGAATACACATTCTCTTCAAGTGCACATAAACCATTTCTCCAGATAAACTACATTCTGGGTCATAAAAATTTTTTAATGAATTTAAAAGAACAAAAACCATAAAAGTATATTTTCAGATCATAATGGATCTAAATTAGAAAAATATCAGGAAGAGCTCAAGAATATTTCCAAATGCCCATAAATTAAGACATTTCTAAAATAACCCATGGAATTTCAAAGGAAATTAGAAAATATTTTGAACAGAATGAAAACATAATACAAATTTTTTGGGATGCAACTAAAGTGTGCTTAGTAGGAAATTTAAAGTATAACAAGAAAAACTAATATATTTATAAAGATAAATACATGAGAAATAAAAAATGTTAGAAATAGAAACCATTTATAGAACCAATTACCAGCCAATAGTTTGGAGAACTTTCATATAATTAGCATTTTAGAATAAATATTTTATTGTATTACTAAGACTCCTGTAATACATTTCCCAGCATATATCAGAAAGAGACTTTTCTAACTACGTTAAACAAAATTGACATGCTGAGAGGCATTGGGTTTTTCACAGGCAAAATCAAGCCCTATTATCAATTTTAGAAGGAAATTTCAAAAAAGCCATCATCTTGGGTTTCATTTTTTTGTAACAGGGATTGAACCCAGGGGCATTTAACAACTGAACCACATCCCCAGTCCTTTTTATTTTGAGATAGGGTCTCACTAAGTAGCTTAGGGATTTGCTAGGTTGCTGAGGCTGGCTTTGAACTTATGATCTTCCTGCCTCAGCCTCCCCAGATGTTGGGATTACAGGCATGTGTCACCACATGCTTTTCATTTTAATCAATTTTTGTTTTCCTATTTTGGGAGAAGAAATTAAGAAATGAAAATGCATTTAATAATTCTATTTAATCCTTTCTTCTGCAATTTCTCTTTCTGGTTGAAATATCAATTTTAGGTGTAACCAGAGTTTTCTTTTAAATAACTATACTTTCAATTTAAGGGAACAAGTTAAAGAAATAGCTAGCTTCTGGTGGAAATGCAGAAGGAGAAAGCTAATCTGGCTTTATGTCTCTCACCTCAGTCTTCTGCCTCTCATCCTCTCTTTCACCATTCCTGGATTATAGTGGCTGTTGGCACAAACTTAGTAGTGTTTGAGTACATGGCCAGCTGTGTCTACAGGCTGTGTCACTGAGTATTTTTGAAAGAACCCTTCCACTGTCTATAGTTCTATCTGAAGATGTCACCGTTGCCAGGAGTATCCACATATAATGCTATCTACTTCCATTTGTGTATAAAATTGTGTGACTGGGTCTCTATATTATAATGAATAAATACAATCACAGTACTATTGACTTTTATGGTAACCTGAAATTGTGTACTTCTTCAGAGGGAGGGAAGTTGATCTCTGAGAGGATAGCTTTAAAAAATTTCTGCATACAATAAACTGATTGAAGCAAATCCTCTAGAATCTAATTTAAAGTTATGTGTGGCTATTTACCTGTATATATGCACAAATCTAAACAGGAATTTATGTAATGTCTTAGGAACCAGTCTTTTAGAGAAAGAGAACCAGAGTTAGCAGGACTACATGGAACAAAAGATGTATAACAAGTGACTGTTAGTTAACCCATTATCTAATTACAATGGAGAAAGAAAGCAAGTTACCTTCTAGTTATCATAAACAAATCTGTTTTATTGATCATGACATGGGTAAAATATTTGTATTTTGCGAATCTTCCATTTTCCATTACCTAAAAAAAAGTGAGAGTGAGAAAATTGATAATGTTCCATAATATGTTATGATCCTCTAAAAATCATTTCTCAATGGAGGAAATAATTAATATATAAAAAATATACATATCAGAAAATTCAAACATTCAAAAAATTATTGCTGCTTCCTTTTTAAAAGTATTTGCTACACTGCTTTAAGATTTCTTGAATGCAGCAATGCCAATCTTTAAATTGTAGATTTTAAAAAATATTGTTGTTTAAATTCAATCTAATGAGGTATTAAACTGTTGTCATTTAATCTCAGAAAATATATTAACATTAGATTACATTTGCATAGAACATGTATAAAACTCATAAATGCATGCATCATGTAAATAACTATTGGCCCCCACTTTGTCTCTTCCCTGGAAATTTCACCTGCTCTATAAAGATACTTTTCTTTGCCAATCTCAGAACTCATTAAAAAATGAGGAGCAGAGTTTCTAGACAAATAGGAGCCCTGAGGCCTATTTAGACTATGTAACAATCTTTAAATTTATTTTCAAGACTACTGAAAGATTGTCTATGTATTGTCTGTTAAGCATTATTTGCTCCAGAAAATATGAACATAACCATAAAAATAATTTTTAAATTTGTTTTCAATGTAATTGGCTCTGATAATAATTACTTCCTCTATTTAAAACATAGCAGGCTAGACTGTTTCGAAAGGTAAGCAATGTTAATTGTGATCATGATCCCTCAATAAAGGCATGTTAAGGATTTAGGCAAAATGTTAGAAGTCTTCAAGAAATTCAAAAAGAAGATACAAGAGTTTAAAAAATTGTGTTTCTTGAAGTTGTATCTTTAAAAAAAACTACAAATATTTAGCTTAGAAGCTAAGATGTTATTTCATAATTGTCTTGATATAAAAGGTGGATAGAATGGTTTCACTTTTAATGGAGACAGAAATAAAAAACTGAAACAGCGTGATGAGGCATGGTTTTTTATGTAATGTCTTAGGAACCAGTCTTTTAGAGCAAGAGGACCAAGTGGAATAAGTTTCTAACTTAGAAGATCACAAAAAATTGAGAAAAAGTATCTACAAATAGGTAAGGCAATTAAACACAAATATATCAGAAATTAAAAGGGACAGAGGCACAGATTTAGAAGAAATTAATAAGTATTATTAACTTACAAATTATGCAAATAAATGTGAAAAATCAGGTGAAATGGGTCACATTTCAAGAAGATATAAATTAAGAGAAAGAAGCCTCAATTAGAGAGGCAGGGAAGAACTTATTTGCAGATGACAGTATATCTAGGAAGCCAAATACATAAAACCCAGTAATCAATTTGGAAATAGGAAAAAATTATTCTTGTAAGATAAAAAAGATATTTATATGTATGTTTTTACAAACAATGTGCATAAGTTATGATAGAAGGTATAATACTTTCCTAAGGGGGATAAATGAATTTTTTAAAATGAAAATCCATGCCTTATTCATAAATGTAAAAATTCATTATAATAAAGATATTATTTACCCCCTTTCACATTTATACATAACACATATATACTCTTTCAAAGTGGTCCCAAGATGGTAATTTTTGGAGGATGGGGTGGAGGTAGAGGAGGGAAGATAAGTGACTGGACAAAATCATAATAAAATTTATGTAGAAAGAAAAATATAACATCAATTAAATTATAAAAAAAGAAAGTGAGAACAATACCCTAACATCATTAATATAACTTGTACAGCTGCAGTAATGAAACAGCTTGGTGCTGGTGAAAGTTTACACTGACATAACCAATAAAAAAATACAAATTACAGAAACTGACCAATATGCATATAGGATTTATAAAAATCTTTTTATCTGAATATAGAAATTTGTGACAGCAAACGCCTTTCAAATTAGTGGGTAAGAGCATGCATTATCTAATAAATAGTTTTAGACAACTTGCTGGCTAAAACTGGACCTATTTTTCTATATACTAAATCCTGCATGGGTCAATCAGGCAAGTATACAGAGGTCTATAAAAATACTATGAAAGTAACATTTTAATAATCTCCCAGCAGGAAAATCCCAAATAAAACTAAGATCATGAAATTTAATAAAAAAAACTTTAAGAACATATAAACACTACTGAATGGCAAAACAATAAGCAAATAAGCAAAGAAATAAAAGAACAGGAAAATTTGGGAAAATGTTTGTTAATACAGAGAGGTATTTCATAATCTAGAGAAGTCTATTGATTTAAATAAACCTATGAGAGAAAAATGGTAAACCAAGAGTAAACTATCTAAAGGATATGAATAGGTAGTTCAGGAAAAAAACAAAAAACAAACAAACAAAAAAAAACACAACAAACTGACCAATAAGGAGACTTAACTCAAAAAAAAGAAAATACAAATCAATTACAAGTTAGCAATTCCACTGATAGGATTTATCTTAACCAACAAGTGCCAAAATATACATATAAGATCTTTATAGCAATGTTGTGTTACAAGCAAAAAATCTAAATGTTCATTAATGAGGGACTCAATAAATAAATTATGGGGCAGCCATACAATGGGAAATGTCATAATAAAGTCATAATAAAAAGACAGATTTCTGTGTACAGATACAGAAAAAGTTAGAAGATATATTAAATGAAAAGAAATTATATTACTGAACTGATTTATGGAGGAAATCGGTAGGGAAATGCATAAACATTAGACATTTCTGAAAGAGTACACACTGATCTGTTAACAGTATTTATCTCTGGGCTTGTTAAAGGCAATGGTGAGGAGAGAGTGAAGTTTTTATTAATAATAAATATATAATCCTTTTATTATGATTGTTTGTATTGAAATTAAACTACAAAATATTTGTTCTCTTTTGTTCTACATGGTCACTTTTTAAAATCAAGACTATAAATGTTGCTTTCCTCAAAGACACCACTCCTGACAGAAGACTCTCTATCCCCTTAAAAGATTATAATCTTCAAATAACCCAAAAGCCCTTGTTTCACTTCAAGCACCTAGCTTCTATTTCAATATTATGTTAAGTTTGGGCACTGCAGTTGACCCTACCTTTTATCACTTTTCATTTTCAAATCAAATCTAAGTTGTGTCTACCAGCAATTAAACCAATTTCAATAGTTACAATAGCATCTGGCATTTTTTTTAAAAACCTAAAAAAATAATTCATGCAATGCTTTCTGGAATTCATCCAAAATCTTAAATACAACACTTAAAAAAATTAACAGATGTTATGATCATAGTAATGTGCTTTGAAACATAATAAACTGGACCTTTTGTTATTAGAGTTGATATATTTGAATAAACATCAAATATAACTCATTGCACAGCAAAATGTTGCTGAAGTCTCTATTACTTGTGTGAAAATACAGCAATAATGGCATTATAAGCAGAATCCAAGAATCTGAAACTAAATCCATAGACGCATGGGAAAGATTGTGATAGCTTATCAGCCAAATCCACCTTCTGTCACATGGTAAGGAGTATACAAATGTCACACTTTTGGTCACAAATTTTCTGCCTAATTATTTGACTTTATAAACACATTATATATGAAAGATCTATACTTTTCCAAACATCATTATATATTTTTGAACCCTCCCCCCCTGAGAATTTTAGAGGAATGGTATTGTTCATCCAAAACAATCTTTTCATTTATATCAAGAAAATGAGAATCTGGTGTTTAATCAATCCATGTAAATCTTCACAATGATCTCATGTGATTATTAATAATAAATATATAATCCTACAATTAAGTGACTTGGGTCAGTTGCAAAACTGAGCTCAGAACATTGGCTTCTTCATTTCTAATTCCAGTGCTTTTTGCTATACCATGATGTTTCCTCTTAAGGTGTCAGACACACTTCCCTCAAGGCACCTCAAGAATGTCTTTGATAATTCTAGAAGACGGTAGTTGTTGAATTTTTAAACTAGATCAATAGTATCCAATAAGTTTAGTGTTAATATCCTATATTTCTCTATCCCAAACAGATACTAGGTATGAAATGTTTCTATTAAAATAATTTGTGATACCATTTTAAAACAAATGAAGAATTAGCAAAATCAGGGTTAGAAATCACTATAAGGCCTTTGCATAAATATCAAGATTTGGCTGAAATATGAAGGGATTAACAATAGCCAGTACATTAGACATGTCAGTCTGCTTTATATGCTTTCGTGTTCAACGAAAAATATTTTTTGCCTTATTCATTAAAAGAATGTGTGATTTACCTATCATAAACTGGGAAACTTTCAAAAAGAAAGAAACAAAATAATACAACAGAAGCTGCATTCATTACATATATTTGTCAAAATGTAGAGGTAAGAATTAAAATGATTATTGGTAAAAGAATCTCCCTGGCATTTTGAAAAGTATATATGGCACTTTATATAAATGAAGTGATACTTTAAATGTAAATAAATCCAATCAAATTAATCACACATTTAGACACACAAAGAGATTAGGAGCTTGATGATACTAGTGTCAGGGTTACTTTACTAATATCCACATTTTCTGTCAGATAAATCCCAATACATTAGAAAAAGAACATAACTTAAAAAAGATAGTATCACAAACAACATTTCTAATACTTTCAAATCATCAAAATGTTATAAAATAGCAAAATTCTGAAAAAGCAAAGAAAAATATAAACATAGAAAAGTTTAAATCCCAAGCAATATAAAGTGTAAAATATAAATATATTTTCATTGGAAATATATTTTTAAAAACTAAGTGAAAATAATACATAGTTTAGCAAAAACTATAAAATATGATTAATATCTGAAATTTCTGTAAGGGTCTCATAGTTTTTATAAAAAAATTTAAGACAACACCATGGGAGATTATAGGAAAATGAAATTCATCTAGATGAAAGATGAATTAACAATGAATGCTATCAAGTGATAAAATCTATTAGATAATAAGAAATACTTTTATAGATTGTTTAATTTTAATATTCAAGAGATGGGGAAAGAGGAAAGGTTTATAAATAGATTCTACTAAAAATGTGAACCATTTGTAT